ATTTCATTTAATTCTCATAACCGCCCCACAGCAATAACAACCACCACCACAATAATAATAATAATAGCTAACATTTGCATTGCACTTACCAGGCCCCGGGCCTTCTTCTCAGTGTTTTACATGTATTAGCTCATTTTTAATCTTCACAACACTTCTGCGAGGTACACACTACTATCCCCATTTTAGGGAGGAGGAAACGGAGACACAGAAAAGTTATGTAACTTGCCCAGGGTTGCAGAGCTAGGAGCAAGGATACGGAGGGAGGGCTGTCTGACCCCGACGGACCTGAGCTCTGACTCCTCACTCATCCTGCCTCCCGCAGCGTCTTCCCGTGGTGAGAGCGGGGGGCGTCCAGGGTCAGGGCAGGGGCAGCGGGCATAAATGAGGGCAGTTGGAAGAAGAGGGAGGGATGGAGGGGAGGGTGGGGGCCTCGTATCATTAGTGCTTTCTGAGGGGAGCCGCTGGAGGTGACGCTGGCCCCCCCAGAGGAGCTGGGGGTCCCTGGGGCTGAGAGTGGGTGGGTGGTCCCGGAGGCCCAGGATGGGGTGGGGCTGGGTGACTGGAACGCTACGCCTTAGAAAAGGCAGGCGGAGTAAAGTCTGACTCTTTGGTGACAAGGAAGTGACAAAACTTCTCTGTCCTCCCCCACAGTCCCCGCACCCCACACGGGTCCACACCCTCTGTGCCTGACGGAACTTAGTGGACTCTTTGTGGGCCTCTTCTTCCGGCCCCTGTCGGCCACTCCTTTCTTGAAGCATTTGCTCGCTCTGGCTGCTGTTAACCTACCCCCACCCCCCCAAATATATACCACCCTCAAGGCTAACTCGGGGCCTGCACTAACGCCCATGTGCTGATGACACCCCCATCTTCACTCAGACCTCCATCCTGAGCCAGGGCACTCCCCAATGGCTCCCCGCTGGGTTAAGAATGAAGCTAGACATACGCCCATGGCCCCCACCATCCTTGCAGAATTGGGTTCTAGCTCTGGCCTGCCCTTCTGGCCTTATTTTGGGTCCCTCTATGAGCTCCACACTCTAGCCAAACCCTGCTCAAGCCCTGAATGGGTTACTTTCCCGTCTCAGTGCCTTTGAACATGATGTTCATTCAATCTAGAATACTCTCTCCATCCTGCTATCTTAGCTAGTTCTTGCTCAGCTCCAGCACCCTCTCTTCCAAGAAGCCTTCCCTGACCTCCCAGGCTGGGTTTGCTGCGTCCTCTGTGCTGACTGTGGCTTCTTATAATTAACTGAAGAGGAGCAGGTTGGAGGGAAGACAGGGCTTTGATTGTGGCCTTGGGACTGAGGCTGTCCAGGTCTGGAGGTCCCGAGAATGGTCTGGGCTGGAGACAGTTAGAAGCCAAGGAGAGATCAAGTTTGTCACAGGAGAATGTGTAGAAAGACAAGATGGGAGAGCTGAGGACAGACCCTGGGGGACCCCAACATTCAAGGACAGAGCAGAAGCAAGGCACTCCTCAAAGAAGACTGAGAAGGAGGAGCTGGAGAAGTAGGTGGAGATACAGAGCACCGAGAAAAGAGATGGCTCCCAATGAGCCCCCAATCCAGGGTTCATACCCTGGTGTTGTCCCCTCCCGTTGATCTGGGCTGGCCCTATGACCTGTTTTTGACTGATGTGATGGAAGGAATGCCACAGCACTTCCAAGCCACAGTCATAAGAAGCTTGTAGATTCCACGAGCGTCTCTTGAAACTCTCCAAGAGAAGTCAACCACAGTGTAAGATGTCAGACTACAGACTTCTCTGAGATCACGCTGTGAGGAAGCACAAGCTAGCCACAGGAGGTGGCCACATGGGGAAAGGGAGACAGATGTCCAGTGGCCCCCAGCTGTCTCAGATGAGGCACCAGATAAGTGAGTGAAGAAGCCATCTTGGATGTCCAACCCAGCCGAGCCTTCAGATGACTCCAGCCCAGCCACACGTGACAGCAACTGCAGAAAAGACACCAAGAGAACTGCCTAGCGGAGCCGTCAGTCCACAAGACCATGGCTGATAATAAACTCTTGTTCTAAGCCATTCAGTCTAGTTGGTTACACAGCAATAGAGAATTGAAACAGTTGATAATTTAATACCTAAACAGCCCTCTGAGGTAGACATTATCGTCCCCACTTAACAGTTGGGGAAATAAAGCCCAGAGAGGGCTGTGACTCAGGGAGGTTCATGTAGCTAGCTGGAGGCAGGAGCTGGGGTTTGAACCCAGGCAGGTTTGTCTGACACCCCAGCCTCTGCTCTTTCCATAGCACATACCTGGCTGCCTAAGGAGACCAGACCTGCAGCCAAATCATATGGTTTTGGCCAAATTCCCTGTGACAGGTTATTGGGGTTTTCCCCATGTGGCTCACCTGGGCACCTGCTGGAACCCTGGCTGGTTTTTTTTTTTTTAAATTAAGACATGATTCACACAGTCAAATGCACAAATTGTTAAGTGTACAGCATGGTGAATTTTTACATGTGTATACATCCATGTGACCACTACCCAGGTCAAGATATGGAACATTTCTGGCACCCCAGAAAGTTCCCTTGTGCCCACTGCTAGTCACTGTGCCCCACCCGACCCGGAGCCCAGAGGTACACACTGTTCTGATGAATATCACCATAGTAACAGCTTTGCCTGTTCCTGAACTTCATATAACTGGAATAGTACAGTCTGTGCTCTTTTGTGGCTGGCTTCTTTTGCTCGGCATTATGTCTGGAAGATTCATCATGCTGTTGCGTGTAGCTGTAATATTTCTTCATGGCTGTATAATAGTCTAATGTACGAATATACCACTGTTTATTTGTTCTACTGTTGATGGACACAGGTACTGTTTTCAGATTTGGCCTTCTGTGAATAGGGCTGATGTGAATATCATTGTACCGGTCATTTTGTAGACCTAAGCGCTCGCTTCTCCGGGCGTACATGCAGGAGTGGAAATGCTAGGTCATAGGGTAGGTGTATGTATAACTTCACAGGAAACCGTGAGTTTCCCACAGTTCTCCCAGCAGCAGTACGTGAGAACTCCAGATTGGCACATCCGACATGGCCCTTGGTGTCGTCAGTCCTCTTTTTTTTTTTTTTCTTTAAAGATTTTATTTATTTATTTTTCCCCCCAAAGCCCCAGTAGATAGTTGTGTGTCATAGCTGCACATCCTTCCAGCCGCTGCATGTGGGACGCGGCCCCAGCATGGCCGGAGAAGCAGCGCGTCGGTGCGCGCCCGGGATCCGAACCCGGGTCGCCAGCAGTGGAGCGGCGCTCACTTAACCACCAAGCCACGGGGCCGGCCCCGTCAGTCCTCTTAATCTGAGTTCTCCTATAGGTAGGGAGAGAGATCTCATTGTTTTCAAATGACTGAGCTGGAGCACCTTTTTACATTTTTCGGTTTTTCGAGTGTCCAGGCAGCCCCGAGTTGGGGGTGGGGCGGGAGGGAGCCGGGAGGAGGGTGTTGCCACCGCCCAAGGCTAGAGGGGCAGCCCCGAGTTGGGGTGAGGCCGTAGTGGAGGCAGAGGATGGCGTGGAGCATGTCAGGAGGGCGGGTGGGGGGCCACGGAGCGCAGTGAGGATGGCAGGGCTCTGGACTGCGCTCTGGACCCTGGGGCAGCGGGTGGAGACACCCTTCTCCGAGTGGCTCCGGGATGCTCCTTATGTCCTGAGCAAGAAGGCCAGAGTCAGGGCAGTGCCCAGCTGGACGATTTGACGGCTCAGGGGTCCCCGTTCTTCCTTCTTCTGCTCGGCCACTTTTAGCACGTTGATGTGGCAAGATGGTGGCAACCTGGGGACTTCACCAACACTGTCCAAAGGCCGGGAGAGAGGCCTCCCCTGTGCCCCTTTTTAAGAGCAAGGAAGACCTTCCCAGATTACCCCTCCAACCCTCCGCCCCTGCCCGACTGCCCCTGGCGTCTCACCGGCTGGAAGTGCATCCCATGCCCTTTCCTAAACCCAGTGTTGGCAAGGGAATGGGGTACACCCCCCCATACCCAAGATCGCTCCCCTGTGGATCTTTCCCTGCACACACCGGGGGTGTTCACAGGGCATGTGCTCGTGCTGTTTCCTCACTAGGAATGCCCTTCCTGATTTTCCCACCTGGAAAAGTCATATCCCAAAGCCACCTACAAAAGTCCTCCTTGACCTGCAGGCTGGCTCAGGGTCTCCTCCAGGTGCCCACAGCCTTCTGGGACCCGACCCAATGTGGCCTGTTTTTGTAGCCTCAGTGGGGGCAGGGCCAGTTCTTGTTCAACTCTGTATCCACCGTGTCCAGCCCAGAGGAGGAGCCTGAGGTTGGTGAGAAGAGCCCTGAGGGTGGGGCGAGGCTGGCTCGAGCTGTCCTCTCCCGTCCTCTTCACCTGAGCCACAGCCCTGCGAAGCAGACAGCCCCGGCTGGGCCTGCAGCGGCTCCGAAATGGGGCCTCTTCCCGGCCCCACGCGTGCCCATGATCAGCACAGCCAGCCAGCCGTGATGAAGCCTCCCAGCCTGCTGGGCCTGGGGTGGCCACGTCCAGCCCCCACCCCACTCCCTGCCCAGGGCTGGACATGACCTCTGGGCACAGCCTCAATACAGGACTGGGGCTGAAAGGCACCCCCTTTGATGGAGAAGCAGATGAAGGCTCAGAGAGGGCACGTGGCTTGCCCAAGGTCGGTCAGGGGCGACGCCTCAGCTCCTCTTTCCAAGGCCTGGGCCCAGTGCCCTCTCCAGGCCCTCAGACTCGGAGGAGCACACGCATCGCTGGGGGGCTGTGTAAGAGTGCAGACTCTGATGCAGAAGGTCAGGTGGGGCCTGGACTTGGTATTTCTAACAACTCCCCAGCTCCCTGCTGCTGCTGCTGGTCTGCAAACCCCACGTGGAGCTGCAAAGCCGTCGCCTGGTGGAGGAACTCGATTCTCAACTCCACCCTCAGGAGCCCACGTGCCACTCCTCAGGAAGAGAGGTGTGCTGGGGGTGTGGGTGGTGAAGCCACTTTAAGAACCCCCAACCTCCATAACCTGCCCGGCCCAGCCAACCAGGAAACCAGAGCTGCTGGAAGGTTTTATTAAGTTAGGAAGGCTCACGGAGCAGGAAAAACACCATCATGGGGCTGCTCCAGCGTTCCACGCCCAGCACCCCCAGACGGGGAGGTGGGGCCACGGGGACAGCTGCCGGCTCCCTCTGTCCATCGGTCCCTCCGTCCAGAGTCCCAGGGTGTGGAGCCCCCGGGGCAGGAAGTAGTTAGTGGGAGGTAGGGTAGGAAGAGGGTGCTGGCTCCCTGCCTCTCCCAGCAGTCAACCCTGCTCTGGCCGCTGCTGGGCCTCCACCAGACCCCGGGCAGGGCCACAGCCAGAAGCCCAAGCAGGCGGCTAGAGACAGGGGAACCAGTGTGGGAGGCACACGGCCACAGGAACTGCTTTTTAAAAGGTATAAAGTGTTTTGGGAAAAAAAGGAAAAAATTCTATATAAAAATCTCTTCACATATAAAATCCTGAAGAAGGTGCAAGATAAGACCCAGTGCGAGGGGCACGCTCAGATACGCAGTGTGTGTGTGTGTCTGTGCGTGTGTGTGCCTGTGCGTGTGTGTGCCTGTGTCTGTGTGTACGTGCGGCCCACAGAGGGCGGGGAGAAAGCTTGGCTTCTGACGTCCATCCAGTAGGGAAGGAGGGTGACTGGTCCCCTTGGGCCGGGGGTCTGCAGCGGGGCTGGACCACGAGGACCTGGAAGACAAGAGTGGGGAAGCTGAGGGCTGGGGGAGTCCAGCCTGGGCCCTGGGCCCTGGCTCAGGTCAGGCAAGGGTGGCCAGTAGGTCCTTCCAATGCCTCTCGTACCCCAAGGCTAGGCCGGATCTGCTCCTCCGAGCTCCTCAAAGAGCCTGGCCCACAGGTGGCCTCTCTCACATGCCTTAGAAGTCCACAAGACTCGTCAGAAAGAGGAAGCTCCAGATAGATGTGGCGTTAGGAAAAGATCACAAGAACGTTTCAAACCCTAACTCAAGGAGGACTGAGACTAAGGGGCACACAAGGCCGGCCTCCCTCAGGGTGTGAGGGTAAAGCTGGGGGAAGGGATGCTGAGGGATTGGTGCTGAGCGCCAGGCGGCCAGGGCTGATGGGGTGGGCACACTGGAGCCTGGGGCACCGTCAGCCCTGGGAAGCGGCGGGGACTCATCGGGCTGCGGGCGTCATGCTGTGTTAAGAGCACCGGCTGTCACACGGGGGGACACGGCAACAATCAGATCCTGAGCCGCACTCCCCGCCCCAAAGGAACAAGCTCAAGTTTACAGAGTTCCCTCTGACCGATCCCCACGACACCCCATGCTGCTGGGGTCACCGACCCCACTTACAGAAAGGGAAACAGAGGCCAGGAGAAGAATGTGTCCTGGCTCAGGTGGCACAGTGAGTCAGGTGTGGATGAGCCTGGAGTGCACACCTCCAGGCCCGGTGCCCACCTGGCCTCACCCCTGTCCATCCCGGTGCCAGCCCCATGGCGCCCACCTCTACTCGGCCAGGCTGTTGCGCACGGCCTCCTTCTCCTGCAGGGCAGCCATGGCGAGGCGCAGGTGCTCCTTCAGCTGCTCGATCTCCCGCTCCGACCGCGTCTTGATGTGGTTCAGCTCCACGTACACGTCCTGGTACTTTCCCGAGGTGAAGCGCTTGTCCTGGGGGTGGTGGTACTGTGAGGGCAGAGGCCCTCCCTGCCTGGCCCTGCCTGCTGGCCAGCACAAAGCAGCCAGGCCCCTCCACCGGCCCCTGGGCCTTGTTCTTCCAGATGCTCCCCCAGGCGACCCCCACCCTGGGCCTACCCCTCCCAGTACCCCCCAGTGACCCGGTTGCAGCATCGTTTTCATCCACTTGAGAGCCGAGGCGCAGGGAGGTGAAGCTTTTGCCCAAGACCACATGGCCGTGAGGGGCTGGGATGAGAACCAGGTCAGCCTGGCCCAGGGCTGGGCCTTTCCGTGAGTCCGGCTCACAGAGCCGCCAACACACAGGGGGTGTCAAGGGCACAGGGACACGGCACCAACGTGTCACTGGCGGCCCACGGACTCACAGACCTGAGCCTGAAAATCCCGGCCCTCCCAACCGCTAGCAGCAGCTCATTCCTCACGGAACGCACGCTCCGCATGGGCAGGGGCTGGTCTGTCTCGTTCTCGGCTCTCTCTCGTCACCTTGCACAGTGCCTGGCACACAGTAGGTGCTCAGTAAATATTTGCTGAGTAAATGAAAGCAAGTGTGGCCTCAGGCAAGGCCCTCATCCTTTCTTAGCCTCAGTTTCTTAGTCTGTTAATGGGGATAATGACACCTACGTGGGCGAGGCCAGGAGAGCCGGATGAGGTGACGAGGAAGGAGTGGCTGGTGCAGAGAGGTGCTCCCAGGACGGGGCACTCCAGTGGATCAAAGGCTCCCTGCCCACTGACCCCCCGCCCGGCCCGCGGGCCCTACCTTCTGCATCATCTGGAGCTCATCCCGGAGGCACTGCACCTCCTTCTTCAGGTACTGGAGTTCGTTCTCCTTCACTCGCAGCAGCACCTGGGGTCATGGGTGCCAGGCTGACTGAAGGCCAGAGCTCCCCTGCCCCACAGTGCCCTGCAGCCTGGCTTCTCCCTGCCTCAGGCCCCAAGAATGCAGCTCCCAACCTGCACCAAGACCCACTACACCTCAGTGGCAGACTCCTCCAGGAAGCCCTCTCTGATTTCTCCTTGCTCCCTTGCCTCTGTCCATACTATGGGAGTGGGTATCTTATGGTCACCTCTGTTGTGGCCCCAACACAGCACCAGGCCCTCAACTTGAGGGCAAACAGGATGAAAAGAAGCCACAGTGTGACCCTACTGTGAACCAGAGAGGGCTGGGCCTCCCTGCAGACCACCTCATTAACCCCTCCCCAAACTCTGAGGGGCAGGTGTTGCCGTCCTGACTTGACCAAGGGGGAAGACAGGTTCAGCCCGTTAGGAAGACTCAATGAGCCAACAGCTATACAGGTCTTACTGAAGTGCCAGGCCCAGACTAAAGCCACGTTACATTTTTGTTAAATAAAACGAGACTCGGGTGATCCTGGGATTGCACACGCATTTTCTCACTCCAGCTTCTCCCGTAAGGGAGGTGCGACCCCCATTTTACGGATGAGCTCCTGGGGCTCACACAGGTGAGGTGACTTGTCTCAGTCACACAGCAGGTAGGGGGCAGGACCGGGATGGGAGGGCTGGACTCTGGCTGCAGGGCTTCTGCCCAGCCCAGTAGTGCTGGGAGCACACAGGTGTCCTTCCAGCTGCGGGGGCCTCTCCTCACTGGGCCCAGCCCCTCGCAGCCCCGGTGCTCCCCGCTGCAGGGCAGACCCAGGCCGTAGGGGTGCCGGCGCCAGGCCCCGAGAGCCAGCTGGGCTGCCTGGCACAGGGGAGGGCGCTCACCTCCAGCTCACAGGAGCTCCTCTCGCTGCTGCGCCCGCAGCCGCTGCCCGTGCCCTGCGAGGCAATGAAGCCGCGCAGCCGGTCGATCTCCTCTGACAGGCGGGCATGCAGCTCCTGGGAGGGGCGGGGGGGTCAGCGCAGGGATGCCGGGACCCCCCACCCCCAACCCCCGACCCAGGCCAGGCCCACCTGGTTGTGGCGCAGCAGCTCCTGGCCCTCCTGCTGGCAGCGCCTCAGCGTGTGCTCACGCTCCTCGGCCTGCTGCGTCAGCGCCCCGATCTCCAGGCACTTCTGCGAGTACTGCTCCGACAGCACCTGTAGCTCCCGCTTCAGCGCCTCCACGTCTGACCTGCCCGGGCGGGGGAGGGCCAGGATGGCATGGGCTCCTGCCCTCCGCCAAGCCCGGAGCCAGGTCGTGGCAGCTTCAGAACAGCTCAGGACACCTGGGTTCCCGCCCTCGTTCCACCTTCAGCCCACTGAGGGGCTGTGCACTGCTGACAGCCTCTCTGGGCTGCAGGCGGCTCCTCTGTGAGGGGGTGGGTTGGAGGAGCCCATCTCTAAGGCCTCCACGCCCCCAACATTCCAGAACTGTGCTCTGCGGCAGGGAGGGACACCTACTGGCCGAGGGAGATACTGCAGCCCAGCTCTAGGGAACACTAAAGACAGGAAGAGGAGGGTGGATGCTGAGACTGGCTAGACAAGAAGAGGCCTGAAGAACTGTCTAGGTGGACTGGCCTGGGGATCTGGCAAACACCCCACTGCTTCTGTTCCCTGTGCCATGTGACTGCAGTGGGGGCCTCAGCTGGGGGCAAACTGACGTGTCCTCTGCCAAGCAGCCTCAGCACAGGTCCCAACTCATAACCACCAGGGTGGACAGCTGGGCCCCTGGCTTGGAGGGAGCCCCAGCCCACAGATCCAGGTGCCATCTTACTGGTGCTGCTTTCGGAGGCCGTCCGGGCCCTGCTGGAGACTCCGTGTCTTGCTCAGCTCCCGGCTCAGCTCCTCCTGGTAGGCCTTCTTCATGGCTTCAATGGCTGGAAGCAGGACAGAGAGGCACAGGGGAGATTGAGGAGGGGTCAGCAGCACCAAGCTCCACCTCCTCCGAGACTCCACACACACCATGGAGACAGGAGCAGGGAGTGGTATGCACAGAGCACCGGTCCAGGCTGTGTCATGAACTGAGTGGCTCTGGGTAAGCTGCTCGACCTCTCTGAGCCTGTCTATCAAGGGAGGATAACGAGCCTGGTCTGACGGACCCTGCTGGGGAGACACCTCAGTGTCCGACCACTGGTACCTCATTAGTGATTTCTGGATAAGACCCCACACAGTCCTCCCTGCAGAACCTGGAGGTTCTGCCTGCCCAGCCTGGTGGTCAAGAGTGCAGGCTCTGCAGTAGATGGAAATCTGTGTGACTTTGCACAGCGGACTTAACCCCTCTGTGCCTCAGGTCCCTTATCTGGAAAACAGGGATAACAACAGCACCTTCTGTCATGGGTTACTGGAAGATGTGTGCAGAGCACTTAGAACAATGAATGGCACAGAGTAAATGCCCGGACATTAGCTCCCATCAGTTTATTTTCCAGACTGTGAGCTCGCAAGGACCAAGTCTCTTTTCACACTCACATGGGGTTGTTGTGAGGATTAAACAATCCTCATCCAGTCTTATCCGTAATTCCAAAATCCAAAAGCTCTGAACACTGAAAGTTGTTCATAAGCCTTGTGGTGGCAATCCCCGACCTGAACGAACACAAGGCTATTTGTGTCATTATTATCCCACTGAAGCGTGACTTTGAGAAATTTCACTGCAGAAAACCTTAGTGCTGGATTTCAGGGTGAAGCCCAGACCTGCTGGGGTGGGGGGTTATCTTCCTAAAATGCAAAACACACAGGCCCCAGGGTGTGGGATGAGGGGCCACAGAGCCCTCGGCAGGTGCAAGTTCTAGATCATGCGACCTCTTCTGTCATTTCCATTACTCTGCAAACCCCATGGGGGTACCTAGGATGCACCAGGCGCACACAGCAGTGGACAGAGAGAGGGAGGGAGTCACCCAACATCTTAGGCATTCCTATTTCTGGCTTGGGAGAGCAGAGGGTAGGGTCCAGAGCATAGCTTTGCAGTCAGAGTGCCCTGGGCTCTGACTCCAGCTTCTGCCACCTCCAAGCTATGCCATCTGGGACACATCACGAACCTGTCTGAGCCCCGGTTTCCTCATCTGTGAAATGAGGTTTCTCCCTTGGGCACTGCAAGGACTGGGTAATGTTACGTGGGTGGCAGGTTCTAGGGCTCAGTAAATGCTCACCCCTCCCCTGCTCTCCCCAGGGTCCAGCCTGTGTGCCCAGCGAGGCCACGGCACTCTGATGAGGACAGGCTCTGTGGCTGAGCAGTCCCTCCCCAGCACACTCCTGTGTGTGGCTTGAGGTGGACCTCCCATTGGCTGCAGGCCCCTGAGGGAGAGGAGTCACATCTCATGGCAGGGGCGGATCTTTTATTGCCTTGGTTTCCCCTTTTCTAGTGGGGTCAGAGGCCAGTGTTGGGGCTTCCAACCCCTCCTGATCCTTTACCCCAAGTTTGGCACTGAGACCCACACATCTTCTTTCAAGGCCTCCTGAGTCCAGTTAGGAGGAGCCCAGCCCCCCTGTGCTGCTCCTGCCCGGGGTCCTCACCCGAGGCCGTGGCAGCCGTCTCCTCGGCCAGGAGCCACTCCTTCTCCTGCTGCAGCCGCTGCAGCTCCCGCTCGTGGTGCCGCTGCAGCTCCTCCATCACCTGCTGGTGTGAGGACTCCATTTCGGCCAGGCTGCGCTCGCATGCCTCCTGTGGGTGGGAGGCCAGGTCACGGGGCTGCCCCCACTGCCCGGACAGCGGCCCTCTCCCAGCCTGAGGAGAGATGCCGCCGGGCAGGCCTGCCCTGGTCCAGGCTTCACCCCTCTTCCTGGACCCTGGCACCACCAGCCTGCACCTGCCCCCGATCCTGCCTTCACTCCCGCCATCCGCAAACCTCACCCTGTCACTCTCCTGCTCCAACCTTTCCAAGGCTCCAATCCCACAGGGTCAAGTCCCTGCTCCCGGGTCTGACCCTTGTGGCCTCATCCCCAGCTGCTCCCGCAAGAAACCTCAACATTATAAAAACAGTTCACGGCAGGTTCACACCTCTGAGCTTAGCTCATGCTATTCCCACTGCTGGGAACATTCTTTTGCAACTTCCTCTTCCTGGGTAATTCACTCGGCCTGCAGCCCAGCTTAAATGTCCTCCTAGCTCTGTCTCTGAGCAGCCTCTCCCCTGCCTCCAAAGGCTCTGCTTCTGCCAGGACATAAGTTCCCCGAAGACAGGGAAGATCTGACCCAGCTTGGAGTCCCTTGGGTCCCGGCCAGGGCCCGACTTTTGTGGCAGGTGCTGAGTCTGAAATCGATGACATCACAAAATGGGGCCTTGTAGACAAGACTGGCAAGTATTTAAAAGACTGATAATACCCACTGCAGGGAGAGTCAGCTGTGACGGGGTGTGTGGAGGGCAGTCTGGTGGCATCATTGCATTTTTTTTGTGTGAGGAAGATTAGCCCTGAGCTAACATCTGTTGCCAATCCTCCTCTTTTTGCTGGGGAAGATTGGCCCTGGGCTAACATCCGTGCCCATCTTCCTCTATTTTATGTGGGACCCTGCCACAGCATGGCTTGATAAGCAGTGTGTTGGTCCGTGCCCGGGATCCAAACCTGTGAACCCCAGGACACCAAAGTGGAGCATGGGAACTTAACCACTATGCCACCCAGCCAGCCCCCATCGTCGCATTTTTAATGACCCCAGCCCTTGACCTAGCAGGTGCACTCCTAGGAATGACTCTACAGACAGTCACATGTGCACAAAGACTCTTGGACAAAGGTATTCCCTACGGCAACATTGGTAACAGATGAAAACTAGAAACAACCTAAATGCCTGACAGGGGAGCCTTTAAATAAATGATGGATGGCGCCTTACAAAGGACCCAGGCAGCTGTTAAAAGACAGAGCTGCCCGCGTGGACCGTGTGGAAAGGTGTCCCGAAAGTCAGGTGACGAAAGCTGGCTTCTGACAACATGCACTCACGGAAACAAAACACAGAGCCGTACGTCCAAGTACATGAATGCGAAAACACAGAAAGAGGAAGGATACTGTGGGAGGCAGAGTATTGGGCCCCCAAAGTTGACTACGTCCTACTCCCCAGAACCTGTGTTACCTTACATGGCAGAGGGGAACAGAGGTTGCTAATCAGCTGACCTTAAAACAGGGAGACTATCCGGGATTATTATACCCAGTGTAATCACAGGGTCCTTAGACGTGGAAGAGGAGGCAGGAGAGCAGAGGGAGAAGGAGAAGTGACCATGGGAGGTCAGTGATGGGAATGAGAAGGACTTCACTCTCTTTCACAGGCTTTGAGGACGAGGGAAGGTGCCATAAGCCAAGGAATGTGCACGGCCACCAGATGCCAGAGAAGGCGAGGAGAGGGATCCTACCTAGAAAGGAACCTGCGAGTGCCTGGATTTTAGCCCCAAGAGACCCGTATAGGACTTCTACCCTACAACACTGTGAGATGATACGTCTGTGTGATTTATGTTTGTAGTAATCCGTTACAGCAGCAACAGGACACTATACAGATGGGCTCAAATTGTAGCCAAGATGACCCCTGGGGTGGGAGCAGGCAGGGGAAGGAGAGTTCACCTGTTTATTTCCAACCATTTGATTTGTTAGAATTATTTTTGAAAATGTAAACATATTTCTTATGTAATTAAGAAATATATGAGATCATTAAAAAGGGAAGGGAAGAGCCAGGGCAGAAACCGAGGCACCGAGGGCCAGACAAGAGACTCCCCCATGCCACGGGGCACCTGACGGCAAGTGGGGACCAACCCCCACCTCTCCAGCAGCCACCCCTGGGGCTGCAAGGGTCAGTGGGGGGAAGGGCAAGGGCCTGGCCTCCCAGGTCCAGTGTTGTGAGTGGCGGGTGGGATGTATCTGTCCCACTGGGCTTCTGCACCTGTCCTCTGTGTGTCCCCCTAGTCAGGACAACAGAACACGGCTTTGGGGCCCAGAGACCGGACCCCAGTCCTGGCGGCACCGTGCAGTGAACTTGAACAAGCCCCCTCCCCTCTCTGAGCCTGTCTCCTCAGCTGTAAAACAGGCCCCAAGAAACCAACTCACGAGGGTCCCTAAGGAAAGCCAGCGTCCACCTGTGGAGATCACCCACCTGTAGAGATTGCAGCAATATGGGGGGTGGGGACTGATGCTCTTTTTTTTTTTTTTTTTTTGGTGAGGAAGATCAGCCCTGAGCTAACATCCATGCCAATCCTCCTCTTTTTGCTGAGGAAGACTGGCCCTGGGCTAACATCTGTGCCCATCTTCCTCCACTTTATATGGGACGCCGCCACTGCATGGCCTGACAAGTGGTGCCTCGGTGCACGCCTGGGATCCGAACCCGGGCCGCCAGCAGTGGAGTGCGAGCACTTAACCGCTGCGCCATGGGCCCAGGCCGGGACTGATGCTCTTAAAGGGCCAGATCAGGTAGGCAGACCCGACACCTAATAGGGTGTCTGGAGGTTGACATTAGGACATGGGAACCAGCCCATGAGGAGGGGTCCTAGAAGGCCAGGTGCTGCTCTCTGACCTACCTTCCCGAGGGCCCAAGGTGTTGGTGGCCACCTCTGACGCCGATCAAAGTAGATAAAGAAATGCCCGTGGCCCCCACTGCAATAGGCTGGAAGGCTCCCCTTTGCCAGAGGAGGCATTGAAGCTCCAGTGGGTGAAGCCCCAGAACCCCCAGCCACTGTCCTGTGGTGGAAAGCTCCACAAGCTGAAAGAGGGGCACCCACTCGGCATGAGCTACCAGGCTAGGGATCCCTCCCTATCTGTCCCCTCTTCAGGGTCCAGTGAACCTCCAGCCACCTCCTCTGGTGCCTGAGGGGGACACAGATGGCTCAGCTCCTCTTCTCTGGTGCCCTCCGCATCCGGGGCCACTCCTCCACCCCCTCTCGGGCTCTCTGTATCCCCATTATTCCCTTTTCATCACCCCCCAATTCCACCTGCTCCCCCTGCCCCTCCCACCCAAACAGGACGAAATGCTGACAGCCCTTGGAGTGCCCAACGGGGCGCCTGGGGACCAGGAGGCCTGGATTGCAGACACAGGTCTGCCTCCAGCTCAAAGGTCTCTCCACCTCTCTGGGCCTCAGTTTCCCCAGCTGTAAGCTGAGAAGTCAGAGCGGTGCTTTTCAAATTTCATTTTTGTGACAGACACCTTTTTCCAAAGGAAATCTAATGCAGGTGCTAATAGTAAATTGGACAGAGATGGAGGTGCTCTGACTGCTGGTGGGTGTGGATAGACCCATCTAGAAAGGCAGCCCCTGGGGCATCCGAGGGCTCCACAGAGCACAGTTTGAAGCCCTCTGGCTGGGGGTCTCTGAGGGGGTCCCAGATGCCTGAGGCCATGGTATTGGGCCCCTTCCTGCCTGGAGATGCCCCACCCACCCCTTCCTCTGGCCTCAAGGGAGCCTTTGACAACATAGGTCCCTCCCCTCGCCCCCTCCCCAAGTCAGGTGACCCCCAAGCTAGCCCTCCACGTCAGGCCCCAACTTCCCTTGGCCCTGGTCCTCCTTCTGCCACTCAGCCCGGGACAGCCCCCTGGCCCTGCACAGCAGCCCCAGCCCCAGGGCCCCCAGGGGGTCCCCCGCCTTCCTCGGGCCCAGTCACCCAGTCCCAAACTCTCCTGCCTCCACACACCCTCCTACATCCCTCTCTCCTTCAGCCACCGTCCTCGCTCCTGACGCTGGCCTTGCCCCCTCCCAAGCCCCCCTCCACTCCAACACCACCTCCCCGAGGTCACTGTCAGACCCCAAACCTCCTGAGGTCTGTGAAATGAGATCCCAGCTCCTTGGCTTGGCACTGGAGCTCTCCACGATAGGCACCCACTGGCCTTCCACCTCCTGCCATAGCCCATGGCCCCCACCCCCCAGTGCTCAGCCCAGCGCCCGCCCTGCACAGCAACCTCCCTCCCTGGAACTTCTAGAAGGCCCCCTGCCCAGAGCCTGGGATCCCAGCCTTCTTTTCTGCTTCAGGCAATGGTGTGCTTACTGGAGGCAGTTGATCGTCAAATTTTTAGGAATTTCGTGACGCAGATGCTAAGCACAGCCATTATTAAAATTAAATTATATAAACTTATAATTAATTACATTAAAACAAAGCTGGTACTCAATATTCATCTCTTCCTAATTATTTCACTGCATTTTATTATTTTCTCTGCTCTTGAGACTATTTACCTCTATATCTGTATGGTGGAAATGCTATATAATGGCACACACGTATCTTCCCAACTCCATGTTCAGGGACGTAGTGGGAGTATTTATACCACGGACGTTGGCAAACATTACAAATCAGGGCTTGATTTATTGTTGTGTTGATTGTCTAGACTTAAGCAAGTGATGAGAAAATGCTAACAATGCAGATTAAACTGAAAAGTGTGCCAGGTCTATGACTATCACATTGTAAACAGAACAGAAACCCGAGGAAATACTGACACTGACCAAGTAAAGTTCCAACATAACGTGTTCTCATCTTACTCCTTGACATAAACAAAAACGTCAACCAAAATTCATGTTAGGACGACGCTCGTTTGTCAGTTAGCTGTGGATACAAGCATTCGGAAAAAACAATGAAAGCATTCTGAGGAAAATCAATTTGCTAAATGGAATTCACAATAAAAAGTATTATGTAGTTTTTATTTGTAATTTGTGTACTAAACATCCTTTATATCAGTAAAATTGGTAATGAACATATGTTAAGTGTGGATTTATATACACACACGTATTTTTCTGTCAAAAGTGTTTCCAGACATGACCAAAGGTCCCCAGGGGACCAAAATCACCCCCATGAGAACCGCTGTCCTAGCAGACTGTGCGTCCCCCGAGGGCTGTGGAGGCTCCCACGTCCCGCAGACCACCTTGTGCAGGGCCTCGGCCTGGCAGGCCTGGGCAGGATGTCCCTGTTTAGGGGGAAACTCCCGGGGGCCTGCCCCCTGGGGTTCCCCCTCTCCACTGGCCCCCCACTTCCCAGGGTGGGGTGGGAGAAGGGGTCCAGGTGCATAGGGTCACGCAGGGGCTCACACATGGCTCTGTAGTCAGCCGGACCCGAGCTCAGATCCCACCTCTGACATCTCCAGGCCGGGAGACCTTGGGCAAGTCACATAAGCTCTCATAGCTCAGTGGCCTTGTCTGTAAAACGTGCACAGTGACCATGTCCACCCACTGGGGAGATTGAGTGGATGATGCATGTCAAATTTCTCACACGGGTCCTGGGACACAGGCAGGGCTCCCAAAACACTAGCTGTTTTCTGAGAACATGGCAACCAGAAACCTGCCCCCATCCCCCATGAAACAGCTCCCCAGCCTCACCTGTGAGATGTAGCCTGGGGGGACGTGGCCGTCCTCCTGGGATCTGGGTGCACCCTGAGGGGCCTCCCCTTGGAGACGCCACGCCTCCAGCTGGGCACGAAGAGACTGGACCTGTGAGGGGAGGAGGCAAGGTCAGCGGGGGACTGGAAGCAGGGAGGGGGCTGGTGGGAGGCAGTGACGGGCTGTGGGTTTGAGAAGGGGAAGCGGGCCTGGTGAGGAGATGTGGGCGAGGGGCACAGTCCAGCTGTTTCCTGGATGGCCAGGTCAGTGACTCAGGAGAGCTTTGTCCCAGAGAAGGCTAGACAGGGTTGGGAGCAGGACACCGTGGTCAGATATTTACCACACGATGTAAGTGGCGGGGGAAACGTCTTTGAGCCTTCGTGTCCCATCAGTAAAAGTGGATGAGGTCTACCCTATGGGGCCATAAGGCTGCTGTGAGGGTTACATGAGCCAGTGTAGGCAAAGAGGGCCTAGGACAAGGCTTGGTATGTCAAAGGTACTAAATAAATGCTCTCTCCCGTCTCTTCCCTTCTCTGTGGTTGCTGAGAACAGAACTAAGAAGGAAAACAAACAAACAAAAAAACCAAGGTCCAGGAAAGAAAATTCCATTTCACAAGGAGTCTGAGGTGTCAGACTGGATCAGGGGTGAGCTCCCCATCACTGTAGGTATGCAAGATAAATGCCATAGGTGACTGCAGGGGTAGGAGGCGCGTTGGTGGGGTGATGCCTACCTCCTTCTCCAGCACCTCGTGGCTGTCGCTCGGGGGTCCCCGGCGCTCCCCACGGCTCTGGTTGAGCAGGGCGGTGAGGGGCACCCGCTTGTTCTCCCGCAGGGGCAGCTTCTCCAGCTCCTGCCACTTCTTCTCTATCTCCTCACTGAGCCGGCTCTGCTGGTCCTCAGTCAGGGGTGCGCCCAGACCCCGGCGTGGCCCCTCGCCAGCCGGTGTCTCTGTGGCCCTGCTCTCCGTGGCCTCGAACCACTTGCGCCGCTCCTCAGAGCGCTGGGCCAAGTCCCGCTCCAGCTCTTCCTGCTTGGCCGGGCGGTCAAGGGTGCGGGCCGGGGTGCGGGCCCGCTGCGGGGAGCCCTGAGTCAGCGGGGAGAGCTCCACATAGTCCAGCGACTGCCGCTGCCCGTCTGCCTTCCGCGGGCCACCGCCCCGGCCGATGAGCTCAGAGCCCACGCGCTGCTCCCCCGCCTTCAGGGAGCCCTTCTGGGTGCCGTAGCTGTGCAGCGTGTTTTCCTTATTGCAGTCGGAGAGCCTAGGGTGGCAGCAGAGCCACGTCAGGCAGGTCCTTACCCATTCAGTCCCAAACAAGCACTTCTGGAGTGCCACCGTGTGCCAGGGCCTGGGGACGGACCTCAGGGGAGGAAGAGCCCAGCCTGGACGTTACAACTAGAGCTTCCTCATTCGCAGACCCGGGAACCAGCCCAGCTCCACCACTCGCCAGCAGAGGGATCAGGCTATCTGGCTTCCCTCTTTGAGCCTCGGTCACCTCATCTGTCACATGGGACAATGCCTCTCACAGGACGGATGAGGACCAGGTGAGCCACTGTGTGCAAAGCAACCAGGAAGCCCTTTGCAAATGGTGATCAAAGCGTTATTATTAAAAGTACTGGGGAGACAGGGTCCTGGGCTCCCAGTGGAACAGGGGAGATGCCCACAGTCCCTGCTGAGGAGGCAAACAGTGACCTCTGGGTGCACAGAGTACGGATGGTGGAGACTTAACAACTGGGCGGCTCTCCTCTTCTTCCACAGCAATAGCTGGGTACATGGTCGCCCAGCCCCAAACTACACTTCCCAGCGTCCCCTGCGGCTACATGTGGCCACGTGACTACATTCCGCCACTGGGTGTGAGAGGACAGGCGTGCCCTGGCCTGACTGCTGGCTGGGACTCCATGAGAACCTGCAGTCCTTTGGCCCAGAGGCAGAGCAGTGAGTTGAGGGCCGCAGAACCGCCCCAGCAGGTCTGGACTATATACCTTTAGACTGTTCTGGAGAGAGAAACACACCTCTCCCTTGTTTAAGCCACTGTTTGGGGTTTCTTTGTTATAGCAGCTGAGCCTATGTACTAAATAATAGTCCAGCTGCAGAGTACTTCACAGTTGATAAAGGGCCTCCATGCACGTCCTCACACGACACTCAGCATGACAGACGAGGAACCTGAGACTCGACGAGAGCAACTGGCCGTGTTGAACAGCCAGGTGTGGCCAGGCTGGGGGACTCGTACTTCCATTCCTGCTGCCCAGCAGTCACCAGTCCCAGCCACCGTGGGCGTCTGGGGTTTAGACTGTGTGGGGCTCTACCACTAGGTAACAGCCCTCCTGCCCCTCTACCTGCGGCGACCTCCAGAGGGAGTGAGCTCCCCCCGGACTACCCAGCCATCCCCTTTCCCTAACACAGGCTCGGACACAGCCTCCACAGCAGAGACAGTCAGCCACCCAGCGGGGGCCTCTGACTCACCTGCATCTTCTCTCCCCACCGTCTCAGGATGTGGGGGGATATAAGCAGACGGCAGTGGAACCTCAAATCTCAATGTGTTTCTGGATGACTGCCAAGAATGCTCACTGCCCTCTCCCCATTTTGTTGATAGAGAAACTGAGGCCCCGAAGGTACAGCCACAGGGCCCTCAGATCACTGCCAGGACCCCACTCAGGGATGCAGGGTGAGTGCCTCCTCCAAGGCCCTGGCCCAGCCCAGCACGTACTTGGTAACATCCGGGGCTGAGGTTGGGCGCACAGTCTTCCTCAGAGCCTCGATCCAGTTCCTCCGGATGCCCGAGGTCATGGCCGACAAGGTATAGACAGCGTCCTTAGTCTGCAAGTCCACCCCATGGATAGGTTGCCACCTGGCCGGCCTCATCACTCCCTCCCCACTATGGACCCCACGGAGTGCGGCCTTTCCCTCCCAGGAGGGTGTCCAAGATCTTGAACCTGGAGGTGAGCAGAGGGTACAAGACCTCCCCTCCAATAGTCTCAGAAGAGCCCCACTGGCTCCAAGACCTTCCCAACATTCAAACTGCCCCTGCAGTGATATCTGGGACCTCCCCGGATATGCTAAGTGCTGGCAACAGAGCTGCTGACTGGCTCTGAGGACAGTCTCTAAATAAATGAGTGACAGCAGTCTCTGACGGTGAGCCACGCTCTACACCAACACCTCCTCTGGGGTGCCCTCCAGTCATGCCAGCCCCCGCCACACGCAGCCTCACGTGGATCTGGAAGCCATAGTTGCGCTGCACCGCATACTCAGTGACGTCCGTGCAGGAGCGCAGGTCGATCTCGCCATCCAGCTCGTCTGCCTGCAGCAGGAAGGCCCACGATGATCCACATTCTCCGTGGATCCCACTGGAGCCCCCCAAGCCCCTTGCAGGGGTCCTCCCGCACCTGATGGGGAGGGAGCCCTCCCACCTCGTGGTCTCACCTCCTCAGCAGTGGAGTCCCTGTAGTACTTGAGGCTTGAATCGGTCAGCACGAACCAGTGCTTCTTCCACTGTGAAGGAGAGGGGGCGGTGAGCCGGGGAGAGTGGACTGAAAGAGCGTGTGTGCGCCATTCTGCAGGCGTCCTGGGCACTGCCAGGTCCACCGTTCTGCTCACAGGAGGGCCTGGCACCCTAATCTGCCTGCTGAGGGGCGGGGGGCAGGCGAATCCACATTAGAAGTTAGCCTCCATTTCCTCTCTGAGCCTCAGGGGCAGCATCTGTGAAATGGGCCAGCTTCTCCTCAGTAACCATGCCCTCCCTTTCCCCTGGGAGCCCTTCTCTGATTTGCTGACACTTCCATACCCCTCTGATCCTTTCCTCCAAGATGGCCAAGGCTCTACCAGCAAGTCCCCACAGTGCAGGCCAGGAAGGGGCTGTGACCTGCGTAAGGTCATTTGCCTGGCCAGTCAGGGATGAGAACTTCACAAGCCTTTTTCCATATGCCCCTCTGGATCACCTCGGTGGCCAAGGACAAGTCCCCCAGAGAGGAGGACTGGAAGGTGACCCGGGGCAGGCAACTGAGTGCTGGTCGGATTCCGTTTCCTGATCCGGTGCTGGTTACACGCGTGCTCAGCTTGTGGGAATGAATTATCTGTACATGCAGGGTGTCTCTCTCTGCTCCAGCAGGGTTAGCCTGGCAGGACACCCAGGAAAGGGACGGGGGCACCAGAACAGCCTGATATGAAATGTGCCAAGCTCAGCCCACCTCTGGGCTTCTGGCCATTCGCTGGAATACCAGTCGAGGTCCACCCACTGCCAGGGTCAGCACATGTCACCCAGTCCCCGGCCCTCCTGGGGCTCCCTCACACCACCAGGCCCTACCCACACTGTTTGTTATTTCAAGTACTTAGCTTTCCTTCCTCAAGAAGATGGAAAGTTTTCAAGGAAGTGTCAGGATGACACTTCCTACCTCTTTCCACACTGCCTCCTCTAAGAAACAGGGTTTTAGCATCCAACAGATCTAGATTACAACTATATCCCTTGCTAGCTGTGTGTCTTTAGTCAAGTGTCTTGACCTCTCTGAGCTTCAGTCTTCTGACTTGTAAAGTTGGGCCAATAAGGAGTCCCTAAGCCTTCTTGTGAGGTTAGAAATTCCTAACCTTCCCTTGAGTCTCTCATGGCACTTGGCATAGGGTCAGGCACTGGGTGGTTGGGGACTGTTCTCAGAACCAGCCTGCTCTTCCTGAGTGGCCCGAGTTGCTGCTCGGGACCTGGGGTGTCCCTCCGTAAAGCGGGGCAGGGGTTCTATGCCAAATGATCTCTTTGGCCCTTCCAGGCCTAGTCGAGGACAGTCTGAGATGGGAGCTGGATGGAGCTCCGTGGGCCTCAGGAACCTCGAGTTCTAGGCCTGGGTCTGCCCAAGGTGCTGCTAGGCCTGGAAGAGATCGAAGCCCCTGTGGGCCTGTCCCCTGTCTGTGCACGAGGGGGTTAGGCTGGCTGAACTCCCAGAGCCCTTCCAGCTTGGACATTCCAAAACCCTGTATAGGAGAATGAGTAACGGTCGGTTCTGGGTGGGGCCCATAATCTCTGCCCTTCAGAGACCCTGGAGGGGGAAGCGGGATGGGTTACTGGCCAGGTGCCAGGCCTTGTGTGAGCCTGGAGCACAGCCGCCAGAGGACAGGCAGGCAGGCAGCGGGGACGGAAGGCTGTGGGCTGGAGGGACTAAGACATGTGGGCAGGAAACACAATGAGATTCCCTTTGGCTCCAAGCCCTCCCTGGCATGCGGGCTGCACGCAGACCCAAGCCGCAGGCGCATGCAGGACAGGGGCGATGAGACGTCCCCTCCCAGGCTGGGTGGGCAGGAAGCCAGCTCCAGCCTGGCAGCTGAAAGGGCAGAGTCGGTGAAAGGCCACTGTCCCTTCTGGTTCTAAAGACGGACACATTGGAGAAAGGGAAGGGTTATTAGCTGAAGCCCCAGCAGGCACGGAGGGCTGTGTGGGACCTCTGTGACTCTGCTATCCACCCTGGAAACAATCATCATTATCCATCATGCCCATTTCACCGATGTGGCGACTGAGGCCAGAGGAAGCTGTGACTCAACCAGAGGCCCCAGGTTGGTGAGACGTCAAGAAATGTGCTCTGAGCCCCACCCCGGGGCAGCGGGGCTATTGATGGCTGAGTCTTGGGAATCTGTATGTGTCTCAGGCCAGATAATCTCTGTGAACCTCTCCACCCAGGCCCCTTGGGTACCCAGCCAGTCGTCAAGAGGTGGGAGGGCTCCTGGTGAGAGGAGGGCATGGGGTGCAGGGCGTGAGTCACCTTCCATCCCTGGTGACTTTTACACTCTGCAGCCTGCTCTACAAGGCTCAAAGGTGATTGGCAGCCTCTGCCCTCCCATCCCCATGGCCCAAGGCCCTCTTTCTGACTGGACACGAAACACTCCACCCTCAGAGTTCCACTCTGGCCCCCACCCTGGAGCCCCTCTACCCAGAGGCCAGGGACAGGCCTGGGAAGCAGCTCGGCCTCCTGGGGTGCCCCAGGGACCTGAGAGGGCACTGCAGCAGGTCACCCTCCTCACCTCCCGCTTAGCCCTCCTACCTCTCCTGGCTCGTCCAGGATTGACATCCATCCTTTCTTGAAGTTGAGCAAGTCGGGCTGTGGGGAGACGAGGAGGCAGATGAGTCAGCTTAGCGGAGAACCAAATGGGGCTGGGGAGGAAGAGATGCTGTGCTCATCCTGCCCCCGAATCCGGTAAGACTGAGGTCCTGGGAAGCCAGGAAAGAGGGCTGAGGGCCCAGTAACTCCCAAATCCAGGCAGGCTCCCCAGCCACTGAGGCAGCCTTGGCCCCGTTCCCCAACATCCGGCAATGTCTGAGAGCCAAGAGGGTGGGCTGGGTGACTGGCGCCTCCGCCACAGATGTCCAAGCTCCCCTGCCATCGGCCTCCTTCCTCACCCAGGAGTAAGACAGAGGCGCCGGGAGAACTCTGCCTGTAAAGAGACCCTTCGAGGGGCCAGCCTGGTGGCCCAAGCAGTTAAGTGTGCGCGCTCCACTGCGGCGGCTCAGGGTTCGCTGGTTCGGATCCCGGGCGCGCACCGACTCACCGCTTGGCAAGCCATGCTGTGGCGGCGTCCCATATAAAGTGGAGGAAGACGGGCACGGATGTTAGCTCAGGGCCAGTCTTCCTCGGCAAAAAGAGAAAGATTGGCATGGATGTTAGCTCAGGGCAGCTCTTCCTCACAAAAAAAAAAAAAGAGAGAGAGACCCTTCGAGAGCTCCAAACAGGCTGCCCAGGAGCTGAGCGAACCACCCAGTCCCTCTTGCTGACAAGGCCCGAGCGGCCCACCAGGAAAATGCCTTAAAGCTCCTACCCACCCCCAACCTCCTGTGGTCCAACCAACCCTGCTCTTCCCTTGTCTCCTGGAAACCCTGAAAGATGGAGCCAGGCCCAGGCCCAGGCTGGGGTCAGAGATCCTCTGGCCCCCCTAGATCTCTGGAAGGGCCAGGGAGATGGTACCTCAGTCCTGGCAAGCCCTACCTGGTGGGTGCTTCCCAGTGGGGCTCGGCCCCGGGGTCTGGGGGTTCCCAGCTGCAGCATGGTCCACGGGGGCCCGTGAGCTAGGTACCCCCACCTAGGCCTAGATGAAGAAGCTGCTCATCCAGGCATTTTCTCTGGCCTTGCCCATCTGGTGGGCACCAGCCACCAGACCTTCCTGCCCACTGGGGAGACCTCTCTCCAGTCTAAGTCCCGTCCCTCTGCAGAGTCTCAGCTCCGGCCCACTGGTGGGCAGGGAGGAGGCGGCCACCTGTTGCCATGGCTCTGAGCCCACCTATCAGGACTCGCATCGCAGCCTCACCAGGCCAAGGTGTCTGGTTGCGTGGAGGGAGCGGGTGGCATGGCTTGGGGGTGAGCAGCAATGATGACGGCGGCAGCTGGACACCTGGAAACCAGAGCCACCTGACCTGGCCACCTCTCCTGACCCGCCTTCCTCCCAGGGAGCCCTTCTCTTCTTCCTCAGGTGGAGGAAGTGGCCTGAGATGGGCTTGGGCCAGCAGCCTGGACAGCCACAGCCACCCATAGCCGTGGCCGTGGGACCAGGGCCCCTGGATCTCGGCAGGCCAGCAGCCCCACCTCTGCATTGCAGTCCCTCCCTGCAGACCTGTGTAACCGAGGGGACATGGGCCCTGCTCAGAGCTGGGAAGCCCTGGGGCTATACGCCCTGTCTCTCTCCTCTCTTCCCTGCCCTATTTCCCACGGGTGTCCAGGGTCATCCCAAGCTAGCACTGAAAACTGGTAGCCACGCTCAAGGCCACCAAGTCACCTGGGTCCACCTCATTCAAACTGGGACCTCCGGTGGCCCCAGGGCCTGGCATGCTGTGGCCAGGCCCCAGGGAAAACCTAATGAATAAATATCCACCCTCCTCTACCTCCCTGGTCTGAATTCCTGTGCTTTGGCGGCAGTCCCCATCTCTACCCCCCAGCCCTGAGGAGCCAGGCTTTCTGGGGTGGCACATGGAGCTGGCATCACTGTGCTGACGCAGGGGAACGCCCTGGGAAGGACCAGCAGATGACCCAGCCAATCGGACTGTGCCAGGGCTAGGAGACCAGCCATAGGCTTCCAGAGGAATGACAGGCTGAGACCCCAAGGGCTGCCTGGGAAGTGGGGTCACAGTGACCTTCCTAAGTCACATTCCCTCCCTGGGCCTGGCTGCCTACTGTGGCAAATGATGGAGGGGTTCCTGCCCTCCCCCAAACTTTGTGAGAGAACTGAATGTGCCATGTATGGAGAAGTCTGGTGACCCTCTGGAAGCCGGTACAAACACACCGCACGCCACATCAGGCACGAGATGGCACGGTGACCTTGGGGAGAGGAGACCTGCCAATGTGAGTTTTTAAACCCGCTGGCAGGGGAGGTCCTGCAGTCACCTGAGAACCGCCCCCCCACCACCCCCACGCCGCCAGGGTCAGAAGGTCTGATAACCTAAATCTGTCACTGCGCCTTCACACACGGCTCCTCAGGCCCGGTCACCCTGCTTCCACCTGCAGGAAGCCCACCTTCTCCTTTTTCCCTCAGGAACACCAGCAGGCTCTCGTAGCCCGCCTTCTTCCCTTTGGCCACGGCCACAGATCAGCACTGCCTCCTGCCTGCCTGCACCGTCGACATGGCCTCCTCTATGCACACTCTGGCAGGGGGACCCACTCAAAAAAGCCTAGTGTCACAAGTCTGCTTAAAACCTCCAAGTCTGGCTTCTAAACAAGATCCAGCTGCCTTAGGATGGCACAAAAGCCTTAGTCCACCCTTTCAGCCTGGTCTCCCCCCTGCATAGGGGGTCCCATGTTTATGTCACCACCCATCCTCTCTTATCCCCAGCACATCAGGTCGCTGGGCCCTCCACACACGATTGTGTCCTCTCTGCTTGAATACCAAGCTTCCTCCTCCTCCGCTGACCAGAACCCCTACTCATGCCTTAAGACCCTGTCTGAGGGTCTTTATTGCCACCTCTGAAGCCCCCTTCCCAGACACACCACACACTACACCAGCTGCCCTCCTCCAGCCTCTGTTGCATCCATGATTATCTTGAATCGACTTACTTAGCCCTCACAGGCTACATTAGAGGCAATTCACAGGCAGGGACATGCGCTGTTCACCCTCCAGGACCCAGGGGCACAGAGAATGTTTGCAGAAATCTCTTCCTTTTTTTTTTTTTTAAGAACCAGGCACTGTTCTAGGCCAAGAAATCCACTGTGAACGAGAGATGTGGCCCCTGCCCGGGTGGGACTCAGGAGAGACAGACAATAAACAAGGGAACAGGTATATAATTTGACGCCAGGCCTGGCTGGGGAATGAGGCTCCGGGGGGCAGGGCTGCTCCAGCCTAAGGCAAAAGGACAAAAGGAGGCGGAGTGGATCCTGACTCCAGGCCCGAAAGCCAGAAGCCTCCAAGCATTTTCCCCTCCACAGCACCAGTACCACTTGCTCCATGCAGATCCCTGAGGTCAGGCACGAGGGTCAGGGAGATGGGGCCAGGAGAGAGGGAAAGGCAGTGAAGAAGGTATAGGAGGGACGCCAGCCTGGAGTAGGCTCAGGTCTGAAGGCAGCCAGGATGAACCCAGCAAACACAGTCAGTGGGATCACGAGCCTCCTCTCTGCCCTAACACCGCTCATGGCTCCCCAGTGCCCTGACCAAAGCCCAAGATGCTTTCCCTGGCCATTGAGGCCTCCTTCCCGGCCCCTTGTCTCGCCTTTCCCCAAACATGACCACCGGCCTTTGTCCACACCGTTCCCTCCTCCCAGGCCATCTCCACCTGACAAAGTCCTGCAATCATAGGAGGGCATCTCCCTCGGGAAGCCCCCTCCCCCCAGCGGGGCTGTCCCTCCTCCAAGCACTACCACAGGCCACTTCTAGCAGCCTCACCCTGTTCAGCCCGTGCTTCCCCACGAGATGCAACTGTGTGCATTTCTTATCTCACCCCAGAGAGAAAACTGGGACAGACCTGGATACAAATTCTGGCTCAGCCAGGGCCCAGCCTGGTCACCCGGGGCTTGTTCCTTCACCTCCCCACACCTCAGTGACCTCGTCTGTCAGATGGGGAGTTACTATCAAGCGTGAAGAGTTGACTCTGGGAATGTGAAAGCATCCAGCCCAGGACCTGGCAGGCACCCAGTGGGCAATGCCCAGGGGGTGGGGGGGTGGCAGGACACTGACTCAGCTCCTCCTCCGACATCCCCCTCTGCTCCCCGACGGGGAAGGGGAGGCTGCTGACGACAGGAAGGGCCAGCAGGGAGGTGGCAGGATGTGCGGAGGCCGAGGAAGTCCAGGCAGCGGCCAGGTCATCACACTCACAGGGGCAGAGGCCCTTGGTGCCAATCCCCCAGAGGCCCCGCCCACTCCTGGTCGGGGTCTCCACTCACTTGACGAGAGGGGACGCGCGCATGCTCATACCCACCCTGCTCAACCCCCACCTCCCGCCCCCCAGGCTGTCAGAGCCTCCCTAAGCACTAGTCAGAAACCAAAAGCAGCCCCGCCTCTCCCTTCCAGAACCTCATGGTCAAGAGGCCAGACTGACCTGGAAAGAAGCTACTCCTTCCCTTACTCTCAGGGTAACCTTGGGCAACTCACCAATTCCCTGCAAGCCTCAGTTTACCTGACTGTGAAATGGGGATAATGGTGACCACGGCAGTGCGGTGCAATACGATAATTAAGGCACAGGTATTGATAGAGCCTGGGTAGGGCTCATCCCCAAGAGAAAGACAAACCACTGCCATCGTGTCCCCCACCCCCACTCGGGGCTTGCCCCACCCAAGGCCTCAGCGCCCCTGCGAAGGGGCCAGCTCGAGAGAACCGGTATCCTGCCGCTTGAGAAATCCCAGGATGGGCTCCCAGACAGGGCGGGACGGGGCGGCCCCTTCTCATCCACCCAACCGCCGGTCAGTGCCCACACAGGAGGGCAGCCCTCCCAGGCCCGGGGCAGAGACCCATCCGAGCCGGGGAGCGCCTCTCTCCAGCCCAGGGCGAACACCCAGACCCAGGCGGGGCCCACCTCGGCTCCTCCCACAGCTAGGAGCCCCAGGAGCCCCTAGGGGTCTGGCAGCTTGTGGGGATCAGATCAGGTCTTCACCAAGGGGGATGAGGGGAGGCGGGAAAAGACCACCCCGAAACCGTTCGTGACGGTCCCGCAAAAGTGAGGACAGGGGGTGCCCGGGACGGGGCGTTGCCATCTCCTCGGGGTCGCCCGGGCTTCAGGCCGGGAAAGGTGAGGAGGAGGCTGGGGGAAGGTGAGGCAGGACGGCCGGCCCGTGCGCTGGGGCCGCCCCGTCTTCCGGCCGAGCCCTCCTCTGGCCTCGGGAAGTGAGAAGGGGGCTGTCCGGGAGGCGGGCGGCTGGGCTGGGGCTCGGGCCGCCGCTTTCACCCCGGCCTGGGGCGCACGGAGGCTGCCCGGGGGGCACTCACCGTCATGGCGGCGCCCCGGGGCGGCGGGAGCAGGAGGCAGGAAGGGGGACAGGGCTCTCGGGCCGGGCTCAGCGGCGCG